CACGCCGTGTCGGAGGGTACAAAGGCGGTGACCAAGTACACCAGCTCTAAGTGAGACCCATGTGCTGAAAAAAAAAACACAACCAAAACCCAAAGGCTCTTTTAAGAGCCACCCATAGCTTCCTTGACACAGCTGAACTATAATGTTAATGTCTGTACGATATTTGTATTTTATAAATCTTCTGTATTAACAAGTGATCCCTGACCTTGTGCGCGCTTGTCCTCGGATGTGTTCATACACATCTGTTATCTCTGCCTGTGGACAGGGATCATGTTAAACACCAATGAGCTATTTTGAGCAATTTCTGTGTGATCGTGTTACCCTCTGTCACTCAATCGATTCAGAAGCTACAAACCCGGTGGGGTATGCAAAAGGGCAAGCAAGAAAATATACTTTCCCTCCGAGTTCCGTTTCACCCTTTTGTTTTATTTCCAGATCTCCTCGCGGGTATTGTCAGGTTGCTGAGGCTTTTTGCTGTCGGGGAGATACTTTCAAAATGAGCCGAGATAAAACCAGAACAGCTGCCAGACTGGCATAGTAAATGTGGAGCTTTTGCTGAACTCTGATCGCGTGCAATAAGGGAGGGCCGCTTTTAAATATTCTCGAAAAACGGTGTCCGCAATTAATGTGCTCACCTGGAAAAACGTTATCGAATGTTTTATCAACTTATCGGTGTTTTTGAAATGCGAAATAAATTAGTTGCAGAGTGCAGATTTTGGCGCTTTTTTGTTTCCGCTTGCATTTAATGTTCAGAAAGTCCGATTCTAGGTCAGAAATTGACATATTCAAGGAGGTTAGGGAAATAAGGGAAAGGGAGATTATATAAAGTATACATTCAGAATCTAAGAGTAAACTAAGTCGAGTATTCGTGCATTCTATTGTGTTAAACTTCCTACTTTTTGGTACATATTGGCCGGCTTTTCAAATCAGGAAGAAAGCCGTTGATGATTTGGCGCCGGTATTTTCCGGCCTCCTCCCCGGGCCCTCTCCCGATTGGTGAGTGAAGCAGATATCTGATTGGGAATTGAAACGATATGAGGAGATGCTGAACAAGGTGGCCAATCAGCAATGGCCGCACCATCAATCCTCCCGAAGGTCGAAGAGGCCGGAATGTGGGCGGGTTGCAGCATTCTCTGTGAAAGTGTTTGTGAGATTGTGGCCATGTCTGGGAGAGGAAAGGGCGCTGGTGGGAAAGCTCGCTCTAAGGCGAAGTCCCGGTCGTCCCGGGCTGGTCTGCAGTTCCCGGTGGGCCGTGTTCACAGGCTCCTGAGAAAGGGTAACTGTGCTGAGCGTGTGGGTGCCGGAGCGCCGGTCTATCTGGCTGCTGTGCTCAAGTATCTGACGGCTGAAATCCTCGAGCTGGCTGGTAACGCAGCCCGGGACAACAAGAAGACCCGCATCATCCCCAGGCACCTCCAGCTGGCCGTGCGCAACGACGAGGAGCTCAACAAGCTGCTGGGAGGGGTGACCATCGCTCAGGGTGGGGTGCTGCCTAATATCCAGGCTGTGCTACTGCCTAAGAAAACCGCCGCTGGGGGTGCTACTAAAAAGTGAAGAGACAGTTATTTCGTCTGACAACCCAAAGGCTCTTTTAAGAGCCACCCACAACATCAGTGAAAAGCAGCTAGACCATCCCCTCTGTCGGAATGTCTTTTTCTGCTTTAATTGTTTGATGTCCGTTTCAGTCCCTTTGCTGTTTGATACTCTTACTGTCACTGTGTGTATGATCTAACATGAAATCTTTACTAACAGGATGCAGTCAGTCACGTTCACAGAACAGCTGAAACGCATGGAAAGTGAAACGTTTTTCACGAATTTATAATGAATCGCATTTGTAATAGCGTTCGGATTGCATTATTTCTTATTACTCTGTAACTGCCTGTGACTTTAATCATTGTCATATAAATGCATCTCAGTCCCTCGCTCACAACCAGTTTCATATTTCCAAGCCGCACCTCCATCTCCTACCGACCAACCTCATCCCGCCCCCTTGACCTGTCCGTCCTCCCTGGACTGACCTATCCCCTTCCTAACTCCCTACCTACACTCACCTTTCCTGGCCCCATCCCCGCCTCTTCGACCTGTTTGTTTCCTCTCCACCTATCCTCTCCTCTATCCCTCTTCTATCCGCCTCCCACTCTCTCCCTATTTATTTCAAAACCCCCTTCCCCTCCCCCTTTTCTGATGAAGGGTCTAGGCCCGAAACGTCAGCCTCTCTGCTCCTATGATGCTGCTTGGCCTGCTGTGTTCATCCAGCCCTGCACTTTGTTGTCTCGGATTCTCCAGCATCTGCAGTTCCTACTATCTCATATTTCCTGTAACTGCATTTAAGAGCTAAAATGACCCAATGCATCAAGTAGGAAGTACGAGATAACACATTGTGGAGCTTTAGGAGCGCAGTAGGCCAGGCAGCCGGAAAGTTGACTTTTTGGGTGAGGACCCTTTTTCTGAAAAAGTCAACTTTCCTGCTTCTCTGCTGCCTGGCCTGTTGTGTTCCTTGAGCTCCACATTGTGTTACCTCAACATCCTGGTAAATCTTTCCTGAAGCTCCTCCAGTGCAATAATAGCCTTCCCTAACAGGGTGACCAGAACCTGATATAGCGCTTCAGTAAAAGTCTCAAAAATGTCCTGTACGCAAAAGGAGTGAGTAATGAAGCCAGGTGCCACGTGGTCTACAGCTGATGCGAACTTTAAAGAACTATATACTTGACCCATTAGTTCTCTCTGTTCCACAACACTATCCAAGGCCCTACTTGAATCTCTACAAGCCCTGCCACTCTGTTTTTCAAAAATGCAATGCCTCAGTAATCCATCTGCCCGTCCTCAAGCCATTGACCCAATTGATCAAGATCTCTTTGTAATCTTAGATAACCATCTTCACTGTCCACTATGCCACTAATTTTGGTGACATCTTCAAGATTACTACCCATGCCTTCTAAATTCTCATCTAAATCATTTATATAAATGATAAACAAAAGTGGACCCAACACAATTTGGAGTGGAACACCACGAGTAACAGGCCTCCGATCCAGAAAGCAACGGCCAAGCCGTCTCCGTCTCCTGCCATCAAGCCAGTTTTGTATCCAATTTCCAGCCTCACCCCAAGTCCCATGTAATCTTACCCTATTATTTTGTCTGCCATGAAGAACATTGTCAATGACTTTGTGTAGGAACTTACCCTCCTCATTCCCACGCTTCCCCCCTCAAACCCTGGCGAGAAACAAACACTCAGGACGCAGACAGGATTCAGGCACGTGGAAGATGTTTATTCAAGAAGAAACCAGTGAATGCAGGGAGAGGGCCAAAGGATCTTCCACAAATCTGTTCTCGATGTGAGAAAGCATTTTTCCCTTAATCTACAGCTCAGATTGGAAGAGAGATCAATGACCCACTTTGATTTTACAAGGAAGTACAGCATTTTTATACACTACATGTTACAATAATCAAATGCAAAGTAGTCACTGTCCTTCACCTTAATCCAAACACCCAACCCCATGGGACACCGAATCAATCATGGTCATAGGAACAGCATAGGTTCTCATTATTTCATGGTGTTTACTAGACATTGTCATCACTGGGCCTTGGGGATCTTTCTATTCATCCTATTAATTCACATTCTATAAGTTGTCAGCTATACTCCTGGTCTGTCCTAGACTTTATCTCTAAGAGCTGTTTGAATCCTATTATTTGTGGTATTATGTGTGATCCCTTTCTAAAAGGATTGATTAAATTTGATATTTCCCGCATCCTGATATATATATGGCAGTTAGTTTTAAGTAACAGCTACATGATTAGCTCTAATCTTATAACAGTAATTAAAGTGTAAAGTTCTACAGCTACTTTTACTGCTCGCACTTTGTCACTAATGAATTGGATCAATCTAGCTTGTTTAGGATGTGAGACAAGGCATGTCCTAAAGCTGATTCACCTTCACATGGGTTTAAATGTGTTTTCCTCAACTGCTTGTATCATATTCTGGTTATAAATTGAAACCTACTTCTGTGATTATCAAAATAATTCTTTAAATAGAACCTTTTTTTTCTTAATACTATAGTTTAAAAAGCTAACTGCTATGAAATACCTTTAGCTGTTGTTCTTTTTTGTAGTTGTTTAGGGATTTCGTCTCAGCTAAGATTTAGACCCCTGGTGCTATGTCTCTGGTGGAGCAACATCCTTTCATTGAGACTGGAGTCATCTGTCCATTCTTAGGCATCCTCTTATCAAAACTGACTTGATGCTGCTTGGCCTGCTGTGTTCATCAAGCTCTTCACCTCGTTGTCTCAGATGATGGGTTGCAGGGCCTTTCTACGACCTTGGGCAGATCTCTTCCAACGTATTAGTATGTTTCACTTTAAATGTTAGAGCAGACTGCCCCATTTTGTTTATTCCTTGTGTGTCTTTGTTGAAACAGGGGCCGCTTTGTTGTATGCAGGTCACCCCTACACTTCACTAAAGTCCAAGTAAACAAAGTCTACCACTCTGCTCTCAATCATCTTGGTTACTACCTCAAAAAATTCAATCAATTTTGAGATATAATTTCCCTCACTCAAAACCATGCTGACTATCACTAACCATTCTTTGAAAACCCCCACCTACCCCATACATGTGAATCTTATCTTTCGGAATCACCTCCAACAATGTACCTACCATATAATTCAGACTCTCAGGCCTATACTTACTAAGCTTCTCCTTACATCCCTTCTTGAAAATAAAGGTACATTAGCCTACCTCCAGTCATGCCGCACCTCACCATAGTTATAGATGATACAAACGTTACTGCAAGGGTTTCTGCAATTTCCTCCCTAACTTCCTGCAATATCCTCAATACAGTATATCAGATTCTGGACATTTATTCAACTCTATGCTTTCTAAGACCTCCAAGGCTTCCTCTTCTGTAACATGAACTGTTTTCAAAATATCAATATTTATTTCCCAAGTTCTCTAGCTTTTATTTCTCTCCCCCAACAATATTATTTGTGAAATATTTGTTTTCTATTCCCCCTGTCTTCTGAGTTTCAAAACTCAAATAGGTAGCCTTGGTAATAAGAGCTCGACTCTTTCTCTCTAATCACTCGCTTGCTTTTAATGATCTTATAGAATCTCTTTGGATTATCCTAAACCTTAACACCAAAGCTATCTTGAATCCCCTCTTTGCTTTCCTGATCTCTTCAGAATGCCCCTACACTCCATAGTGCTCCCTCACTATCACATCAGTAACTAGCCCTGCTGTATTACCGATGAAAAGGTCATTTCTTTTTCTCCTGTCTCTACACTCATTTGAACCCAGTCGTCTCTATCTAATACGATTTATTTCGTATTCCCAATGAGAACCTCAATATCTTTATTAATCCATTGTTCCTTTATCCTACCAGCCTTACCTTTTACTCTAAGATGATCATATTAACTCTGAACTTTCACATGACACTTGTGAATGCCTTCCACTTATCAGACATCCCTTTACCTGTCAACACTCTCCTCCAATGGGTGGCACAGTGGTTAGCACTTCAGAGTGCCAGGGACCCGGGTGCGATTCCAGCCTTGGGCGACTGTCTATGTGAAGTTTGCACATTCTCCTCATGTCTGCGTGGGTTTCCTCCAGGTGCTCTAGTTTCCTCCCACGGTCCAAAGATGTGCAGGGTAGGTGGATTGGCCAAGCTAAACTTGCCCATTGTGCCCAGGGATATTTAGGTTAGGTGGGTTAGATAGGGGAATGGGTCTGAGTGGGATGGTCTTGGAGAGCGGTGTGGACTTTTTGGGCCAAATTGCTGTTTCCACACTATAGGGATTCTATTGTATAACTTTTGAAAGTTCTTGTCTCATACCATTAATATTTGCCTTACTTCAATTAAAAATTTTAACTTTCAAGGAAGTATTATCTTTTTCATAACTAATTTAAAGCTGATAGAATTACAATCATAGACCCAAAGTGTTCCTGCACTATCATATCAATCACTAGCCCTGCCCTATTACTGAAGAAAACATTATTTTTTTTTCCCCTGTCTCTACCAAGAATATTTACGTTAAAGAAAATTTTCTTGAACACAATTAGCAAGTTCTTCACTATCCAAACCTTTGACACTAGTGTAGTCCCACTCAACCTTTGGAAAATTAATATCACCTAATACAACTTTATTATCCTTACATATTATGTCTGCGATGTCTCTACAGATATGTTCGTCAATGTCCATCTGACTATTGTGGGGCCTATTAATACAATCTCATCAAGGTGATCATTCCTTTCCTATTTCTAATTTCAACCCACATATTTTCACTGGACAACTGTTAAGAAATATCTTCAATAGTTACAGCAGTAAGGTGTAAGCTGGAATAAGGGAGGGAGACTTTAAAACTAATGAAAAGACGGTGTCCCTATCAATACACCGATCAGGAAGCACGTTCATGGAATCCAAACACAGCAGAAAGAGACCGTTTGACTGCTCGAATCTGAACAAACGTTCCGAAGAGCATCTACCAAAGTAGGATTAATGAGCAATGGTTGAATTAGATTATTAAGGTTCGACGTTGAGAATAGAAAAAAAAGATATTAGACATTGAAAATGAGGTTTAACTGAATGTCTTGAACAGTATAAAAAGAGTAGGTGCATTCTGAAGAGGGAGATCCGGAGGGCAAAGAGGGGATATGCGATAACGATAAGAATAATCCGAGGAGATTCTAAAAAAAACATTTAAAGCAACACAGTAGCGAGAGAGAGAGAGAGAGAGAGAGAAGCCTCTTGTGGAATGAGGAAACAAATTGTGTGAACTACAGATTTTGTAATCTGAAAAATCAAAGCAACTCGTTAAGTACACTTGCATTCTTTTGTGTAAAACCGCCTCATGGTTTCTACATATTAGCGGGATTTTCAAATTTGTAAGAAAGCGATTAACGATTTGGTGCCATTTTCCCCGCCCTCCTTCTCAGCCATGATCACAGTGATCAGAAAAAAGAAACAGCAGATGCTGGAATCCAAGGTAAACAAACAGGAGACTGGAAGGACAGCGAGAGGAAAGGCCAAGGGAAGCAAAAAGCAGAGGTTTTGCCGTGAATTTCTAATTTGCACACAGGGATCCCGTACTTCAATTATTTTGTGACTAATTTAAACCTCAATTTATAATTAAAATACGCTTCTTGAGTTTTAATTTAAATCACACAAATATATCAGTCCTACGCACTTGTGTTTTTTCAGCCAGATGCAGTTCCTGCAATTACAGCTGAATTAGCCCGGTGCAATAATAGTAAGACATGGAAATATAACAACGAAACGCACATCATGCATCAGTTCGGCTCTTCTTGGACAGTTTAGTGGCTCTGAAAAGAGCCGTTGGGTTTCTCGGGGTTAATGTGCAGAGCCAGGTACGCTCCGTTTAGGCGCGCTCCCCGCGGATCCGGCGGGCCAGCTGGATGTCTTTCGGCATGATGGTGACTCGCTTGGCGTGGATAGCACACAAGTTGGTGTCCTCAAACAGCCCCACCAGGTAAGCCTCGCTGGCCTCCTGCAGGGCCATCACGGCCGAGCTCTAGAACCGCAGGTCGGTCTTGAAATCCTGAGCGATCTCCCGCACCAGGCGCTGGAAGGGCAGTTTGCGGATCAGCAGCTCGGTCGATTTCTGGTAGCGGCGGATCTCCCGCAGAGCTACTGTGCCGGGCCTGTAGCGATGAGGCTTCTTCACTCCGCCCGTGGCCGGAGCGCTCTTGCGGGCCGCTTTGGTCGCCAGCTGCTTGCGGGGAGCTTTCCCTCCGGTGGATTTACGCGCTGTCTGCTTGGTTCTGGCCATTTTCTTCAATTCTCGGCAACACACTTACACGCTGCTGCTATCAATGCTGAGCCTGCCGCGGTGCTGCCTATTTAAGGGAATTGAAGAGCCCGCCTTAGAGCTGCGATTGGATACAGTTCCGTCCCTCAACCCACTGAGAAACAGCTGCGGAAGGTACAGAAAAGGCAATAAAATAATTGTTGGAGTCTGATTGGTTAACTTGAAATGACAATTTGTCAATTTCAAAAAGCCCGCCGATTTTACCCTCGCAATCCTGAAATTAAGTTAAATATTTAAATGCAAAATAAAGTCCAACGACGATAAAATCTGTACTTTGTGGGATTTCTTTTTAAACCCAACTTGCAGTTAACGCGGACAGGACGCGGGATCATTGCCTGATCTGCCCGTAACAGGTAGGAGGAAAACGCGGGGTTTTAACACAGCCCAGACTTCTGAAGAAGGGTCGCGGCCCGAAACGTCAGCCTTCCTGCTCCTCTGATGCTGCTTGGCCTGCTGTGTTCATCCAGCTCCACACCTTGTTATCTCAAACTAATCAACCGGCCGTGTCTCTAACACCTCTCTCCCCTTCCTGGACCTCTCTGTCTCCATATCGGGCAACCACCGAGAAACCGATATTCATTTCAAGCCCACCGACTCCCACAGCTACCTAGAATACTCCTCCTCCCACCCACCTTCCTGCAAAAATGCTATCCCCTATTCCCAATTCCTTCGCCTCCGCCGCATCTGCTCCCAGGATGAGGCATTCCACTCCCGTACATCTCAGTTGTCCTCGTTTTTCAAGGACCGTAACTTCCCCTCCTCGGTGGTCGAGAACGCCCTCAACCGTGTCTCCCACATCTCCCGCACCTCATCCCTCACACCCCGTCCACGCAATAAGAACCAAAAAAGAATCCCCCTCGTCCTCACGTACCACCCCACCAACCTCCGGATCCAACGCATCATCCTCCGACACTTCCGCCATCTGCAATCCGACCCCAGCACCAAAGACATCTTTCCCTCCCCACCCTTATCTGCTTTCCGGAGGGACCACTCTCTCCGTGACTCCCTTGTCCGCTCCACACTCCCCTCCAGCTCCACCACACCCGGCACTTTTCCCTGCAACCGCAGGAAGTGCTACACCTGCCCCCATACCTCCTCCCTCACCCCCATCCCAGGCCCCAAGAAGACTTTCCACATCAAGCAGATGTTCACCTGCACATCTGCCAATGTGGTATACTGCATCCGCTGTACCCGGTGTGGCTTCCTCTACATCGGGGAAACCAAGCGGAGACTCGGGGACCGCTTTGCAGAACACCTACGCTCGGTTCGCAACAAGTAACTGCACCTCCCAGTCGCGAACCATTTCAACTCCCCCTCCCATTCCTCAGACGACATGTCCATCCTGGGCCTCCTGCAGTGCCACAAC